CAGCTGACTTGGGGACGCCTGGGTTTCTTAAGTTGAATCTGTATGTAAGTCAGAACTGGCATCCAGATTCAGCCGCGGTTGAAACTGGTCAGTTTCACCAGCGGCTGACGCCAGTTCCGACTTACATACAGATTCAACTTAAGAACAAACCTACAGTCCCTATCTTGTACGTAACCCGGGGACTGCCTGTATACCATTGAGTTTTTTCAGGAATTGAACATATAGTGTTTTCTAGAGATAATTTTGCCTCACGCTTTGGAGTGTGAATATTCCTAATGTTCTTTGAGTTCTTGTTTGGTTATTAGCGACGCTGCATTCCTAACTGATCTTTACATGTACTAGAAATCAATACGATTTTATAAGTAATTGTCTTAATATGAAGCAGTACTGAATAGTACGTACTGCGATTATTACTTCTTTCTTGAACCTTGGTATTTGCATACAAAGGAATTTTACAAAAATCAAGTCTGTTAAATATACATAAATGACTGTTGGACCTTGGAATGCAAATTAAATTTGATCCTGAGCCACTTCTCAATCCCCTTTTATTTAATTTATTTACAAAACCTTCAAACTCTCTGCCTGCAAGGTTCCATATTTCTCAATTCCTAGTTAGGGGACCTTGCAGATAACAGGGGTAAAGGTTTAGTAAATAGAATAAAAATGTGAGGATGCAATATTGAGTTGGTTTTTTTTAGAGCCTGATGTGTCAGTCAGTGAGAGCAGCAGCAGTCACATAATAACTATTTGAATAGATTATTCCAAATGTATCCTGCATATGATCTTAAACAACAGGGGCTTTAAAATTAAACGTTGATAGTAAAGTTTCTTCATTTCTAAGATTAGTTCTTTTCTGTTAGCCCCCATACCAAATCTCTAGTTCATGCCTTAATTGTATCCCACTTTGGTTCTTGTTAATCTTCCCCTCTTGCCTTTCAAACACGCACATTTTTCTCTTTCAGTCCATACAAAATGCTGCTGCTAAACTTACTGCTATTCAAATTGATCATGAAGTCTCCCCTTTTTCAATCTTTCCATTGATTTCCCATCTGATACCAAATAAAGTTTAAAGTGCTATCACCATGTTCAGAGTGCTACATAACTCTCTGCCCCCCCATGTACTGCCTTGTCAAGCTTCATGTTTCCTCAATTCTCTTCCACAACCACTATTTCCAAAATTGTTCACCCTTGTGTGAGAATCTGACAGAATCACTTGTGACTTTTTTCTTGAACCCCTTGAACCATGCAGTGTATAATCCCTTTTGATCTCATCTGCAAGACTCCTATTTTTGTTGATTTTAAACCTTTCTTAAGGACACCCTTTTGCCATTCTGCAAATATGAATCAAATTGACATGTATATAAATTGTATATAAAATGGATATTATTACTGCCTTTCCCTGACCTCTGTCTAATTGCCTGTCCTTGAGTGTGAGCTCTGTGGAGAAAGGACCATTCTTTTTAAATGTGTAGAAAATGTCCAGCAACCGCTACAACACATTTTTAAAAGATTAAAGTTAGTTAGAATAATGTAGTGTAATTTGCAAGGATTCATCTTGTCAAAATCTGATTTTGATTAGAATAATGTAGTGTAATTTGTAATTTGCAAGGATTCATCTTGTCAAAATCTGATTTTGGTGTGTTTGCATGGTTTTTTTTTAAACAAAGTGTAAACTGTTGCTTTTATTTTACCTAAGACTGTATCTTATTCTTCCTTCTCTTATATCAACAGACAACAAAATTTACAAGTGCTGTGGATATACCAATAGAATTTATAGAAAAGAATGTGAAGCTACGAGGAAGGTTATATCAAATAACTGAGAAAGGACTAGAAGTTGAACATGTTCCCATTAACCTTCCTTTCTTGTCATCATTACAGAGAAAATGTAAGTAAGAAATGAACAGGAAGAATGAGATAATAATGACAAAATTAAATGTCCTCTTAGTTCATACAGTTGTGTCTATTAAACTAGCAAAAATTTACAATATCTGAATTGTTTCCTTAAAAACTTTTAGTGAATATAATGCCCTTAGAAAGTAGAGATAGAGATAGACATAGAAAATGAAGTTCTGTTCCCACACAGAACAGTTACTGTATAAGCCATGGGCCCCATCCTTCCCTCCTGCAAATGGCCATGCAGTCTATGCATATGCAGAGCAGGCAGGTTGAGAAACTTTTTAAGCTCTGCAGGCAGACTGGGCTGCTGGCTGGTTAGTCTCCTGGCCAGAGCCTGCCCTCTGGCACTCCAGCCCCTCTCTTCCCCAACCCTGTGTCCTCCCACACAACATACCCAAACCCTCTGCCCCCACCTACACCTTATCAGAAAAGCAGCTGTGGGGCCATTTCTGTGTCCTCCCACACAACATACCCAAACCCTCTGCCCCCACCTACACCCATACCCTCTTCCAGATCTGGCACTCCAATTCCCTGCCCCAGATCACAATCCCCTCCTACCCTAGGTTATAAACCAAACTCCTGCACTCCAGTCCTCTCCCCTAGGTCAGAAACCAAACCCCTGCACCACAGGCCCCTTCCTAGGTCACAACCCCCTCCTGTTCTCGGTCACATTCCAAAACTCTGCATCCCAGTCCCCTGCTCTAGATCACAACTGAAGCGCCACGCCATCCTTCCCTCCTGCAAATGGCCATGCAGTCTATGCATATGCAGAGCAGGCAGGTTGAGAAACTTTTTAAGCTCTGCAGGCAGACTGGGCTGCTGGCTGGTTAGTCTCCTGGCCAGAGCCTGCCCTCTGGCACTCCAGCCCCTCTCTTCCCCAACCCTGTGTCCTCCCACACAACATACCCAAACCCTCTGCCCCCACCTACACCCATACCCTCTTCCAGATCTGGCACTCCAATTCCCTGCCCCAGATCACAATCCCCTCCTACCCTAGGTTATAAACCAAACTCCTGCACTCCAGTCCTCTCCCCTAGGTCAGAAACCAAACCCCTGCACCACAGGCCCCTTCCTAGGTCACAACCCCCTCCTGTTCTCGGTCACATTCCAAAACTCTGCATCCCAGTCCCCTGCTCTAGATCACAACTGCCTCCTTCCTCCAAACTCCCTCCCAGACCCCACTCTCCCTCCTGCACCCCAATCCTGTACCCCAAGCTCCCTTCTGCACCCAGCCTCCATCCCAGACCCCACACCCTCTCCATTAATATAATTGAAGAGTGCAGCCACCTCTGGTATAAGCAGTGGTAATGGAACAGTTGAGAGTGAGGAGGGTCTGAATTCTAATTCTGGCTCCGGCACTGTGTGTGGCTAAGGCCATGTTATTTTATCTCTTTGCTGAAGTTTCCCCATGAATAAAATGAGAGTATAGTTATCCACTTACTTTAAAAGTGTATGGTAAGGACTTGATTTAAATACGCATCTGTCTAGACATCTTATGTAGTCAAGAGGTCCCTGTTACCATAGTATCTGAGTACTTCACAATCTTTAATGTTTTTATCCTCACAACACCCACATGAGGCAAGGAATTAAAGTTTTCCCACTTGTTGGCTGGGAGACTAAGGCATGAGAGACTGAGGCCTTATCTATATTTGATTCTTTTGTAGACATAGGCTACGTCTAGACTGGCATGATTTTCCGCAAATGCTTTTAACGGAAAAGTTTTTCCGTTAAAAGCATTTGCGGAAAAGAGCGTCTAGATTGGCATGGACGCTTTTGCGCAAAAGCACTTTTTGTGGAAAAGTGTCCGTGCCAATCTAGACGCGGCTTTGCGCAAGAAAGTCATGATTGCCATTTTTGCCATCGGGGCTTTTTTGTGCAAAACAGTTTTTAGCTGTCTGCACTGGCCCTCTTGCACAAAAACATTTCCGGAAAAGGGCTTTTGCCCGAATAGGAACGTCAGAGCATTTGTGCAAAATAGAATGTCAGTGCTTTTGCTCAAAATCAAGTGGCCAGTGTAGACAGCTGGCAAGTTTTTGCACAAAAGCGGCCCCTTTTGTGGAAAAACTTGCCAGTCTAGACGCAGCATGCTTAAGAGTGTGGGGTTTTTTTTTGTTGGTGGGTTTTTGTTTTTTGAAAGTTTATACTGACAAAAGCTCCAGTTTAGATTCAGTTTTGTCAGCAAAGGCAGTGTTGTCCCATCCATTGGACAGTTTGGGGCAGCTGCTCTGGGTCCTGTGCTTTCAGAGGCCCCAGGACAATCAAGATTACTTGGGGGGGCCTGATGATGGCAGTAGGGGTTGGCCATGCTCCTGCATTCACCAGCAGTTGCGGGAGCTGTGGGAAGTGGAGCAACCCAGTCCCAGTCTGTTCCATCCGCCACCTTCCAGCTGGGTTGCTCCACTTCATTGTGGCATTGGGAAGTAGAGCAACTCAGCCCCAGCCTGCTCTGTTCCCTTAAGCGATACAGCTGGGAACTGGAGAAGCAGAGCAGGCTGGGGCTGAGTCGCTCTGTTTCCGCTGCCACGGTGAGTACAGGGGGGCCTGACTTCTTACTGCTGGTGCTAGACCTCCTGGTAATCCTTTGGGTTGTATCACTGAGGGCTCATCTAGATTACAGGGAACAGTCAAAAGAAGATAGGCAAATTCCGCGGCTTTTTTGGCGAACCACCCTTTTCATCAAAAAGCTGCTCTTCGTCAAAAAAGGAGGTTTACGTGGCTTTTCAACAAAGGGAGGGATTTGTCTTAATTACTTTCACTTTCAAAAACTCTGCTTTCGAAAGTGCGATCAGAAGAAGATCTGCACATTCCCACTGAATTTGCCTGACTTCTGTGGGAATTTGCATATCCTCTTTCGACTGCTCCGCGTAGTCTAGTTATGGCCTCAGGGAAAAGGTTTTAGGGGACGGGGTACAGTGAGGAGGGAAGGGGCCAGAACAGGGGTTGCAAGAAACGGGGTGGGAACAGAGCAGGAGTGGAGCCTTTGGAGGTGGAGGGAGATGTCCTGGGCCCTGCATCTTTCTAGGGACAGCCCTGGACAAAAGAGTTATTTTTCTAGTATAACTTACTTCGTTCAGGGAACTAGTATAAGCTATACTGGCAAAAGCTGCTCTATTGCCAGTATAAGCTGCATGTACAGCTACAGTGGGAGGATTTGCCTGTATAACTATTAAATGAGATTTGATATAGAAATTCATACCGGTTTGAACACATGAATCCCATAAACAAACTTACAGGTTAATGCTATAGACTACACACATATGCCTCTCCCTGCCAGTAAATATTTTAGCTGGTTGTAGCCAGCAGCCTTTCTTAATCCTGGTTTGTGACGGGTCTGGAACCTACCCCCACTGTGGCTATGTATTTAAAGTGTTATTAGGAGGTAGGTGGGCCGGCAGTCCAGCTCAGTACCAACTCACGACAAAGTCCGGGAGTTCAGTCCCCACCCCCCACACAGGGGCTGCTGCCATCTCTGTATCAGAGGCAGCAGCATGGGGCCACAGGCAGGGAGTTAACTAGCCATTAATTGACTAGTCGAGTAGTCAATGGAATTTCCATCGACTAGTCGATAGGCACTTCCGCATTCCTCCTTTGAAATGTGCAAGAGCCCCCGACCAAAGACTAGTCAACTAGTTTTTAACATCCCCAGTGACAGGCAGCTGGTCCGCAAGGGGAGCTGGTTTTTAAACGGCTCCCCTCGCGGACCAGCTCCTGCTTGCCACCCTGCGCTGCTGTCTCTGATCAGCAGTATGGAATGGCAGGGGGCTGGATTACGCTGGCTGCCAGCCATGCTCCCAGGGACTATAGAATAGTCAAGTAACTGATAAGAATTCATGAGGTTACTCGACTATTCAATTAACTGATATTTAACATCCCTACTGTGGGGTGCTGCAGCTCACTGAGATGAAGAAGGGTCACTCATGCAGCCCACTGGCTATTCTTGCTTGCTTATTGTTGTTATAAGTTATTGTTGTTCCACTGATGTCAATACCCCATGTAAGTCAGTGGAGTTATACTTATTTGCAGCTACTAATGATCTGGCCCATCATGTGAAACTGGATCTTTTTTGATCATATGGGAGTAAAAATACCATTTTATGTATATTTCTAATATATTCAGGGCAATCAAATGGTGTTTTGCTGGTCAGACTTGCTGGAGTGGAGCTGACACCGAATGCTATAGTCTGGTTACAGGAAGAGTTAAAACCTTCACAAATGATGTGGTTCCAGCTTCTTGGAAGGGAGGATTTGGTGCTTGATTGCCTCGTTTTAGTAAATAAGGTAAATGCGGTAACATGAAGGATTGACAGTTCTTTAACTTTCATTTCTGTCCAAAGATTTGCAGAGATTATTGCTATTACTTGATTACATTGTAAGATCTGAGGGTATTATATTAAATTAAACATTTAAGCAGACCTTTTATATATTCAAATTGGAGAAAAATATTTATACTTTTGCAAACTCAAAATATAAGTGTAGCTTTTCAGTGGCTAGTTGACAGTTCTCTATGCTATCAGGTTTGTGGCATCTAGAAATACAGTGGACACTAGCTCTGTGGTCCTTAGGATTTTTTCTTGATCAAGTATCTGGTGTAATGTTGTTTCACAGATGACTTCACATTTTGTGTTTAATTTTAAAAGTGAGTTGAATGCTATACAACTTTTAATTGTAGAATTAGCCAAAAGGAGGTAATTTCTAACTCATAACAGTCAGACAATTCACACAACAGATTAATTGAAAATGTCTTAATATCCTTTGTAAAAGACCAAGTGAATGTATAACATGAACTGCTGCCTTCACTTCATCTTTTTGTAGGGTAGATTTTTCAGTGTGTGTCTGAATGAAGAGATCTTAAGACAAGGACTTGGCAAAACAATACGTATTGAAGGACTACATCATGACTCTCCATTTTACTGGAAGCTTCACAAAAGACTACTTCAAGCAGAGCTAAAAGCCCTGAAGAAAAATAAGGGAATATGGAAAGAAGAAACTTACTTTGAAAAACTTAGAGGTCATATAAGTAATAATACATTTGTACAGAAATTAAAACAGTTTGCAAACTGGCTGAGAATACGTATTTAAAAGTGAAATGGGAAGGACTTAGTTGGAAAAATTCTATTTGGACATTCATGAGTGTCTCTTTGGTGGATGCTTTTTATAAAAGAGGAGCTTATGAAGGGAAACCTATGCTTTCATTTTTGAAAATCCTGCCTAAAGAACAAATATAAAAAGTAGTCCCAATAATGTCACTTAAAGAGGTGTTCAAATATAATTCCTATATCATAACAAATTTCAGCGTGATGTTGCCTGCTAAAGTGTGTTAATCCTAACATTATTCAAATAGAGGGGCCTAAAGTTATGTTTCTCATCCTTAATTTAAGTTCTTAAATAAGTGGTCTGATTTTCAAGAGTGTTGAGCACCCAGATGACTCCATTTACCTCAGAGGAAGTTATTGAAGATCCTATTTTTGAAGGTCTAAAATATTAGTGCATGATGCCACACTTTACTTAACATAGCAGTGGAATATAATGGTTTTTAAACTGGCTACCCTCGCGGACCAGCGCCCGCCTGCCACCCTGCGCTGCTGTCTCTGGTACTGAAGGACTGCTTAAAACTGAATATTAATTAGATATTACTTAAAGAAAATTACTGTCTTATCTTTTTGCTTTCTTGGACCTCTGTTGTGCGGAAGTATTTTTGTCTGAGTCCTATGTAAGGAAACTTATGTGCTATGTTTACTGTTTGTATGTTTAAAAAATTCAATATGTTTGAATAATTGGTTCTGTTGTGTAATTAATAGAAAAGGTGATGTGACACAGCTGATCTTAAAAAGAAGAGTATATAGAAACTTCAACAACAATAATTTTAATTTTAAAACACCGTACATGATCATAAATTAGTATATTAATAAGCTGCATATTGACTTGTAGTATAAGTACATTAGTCTATACAATTTAAAGAGTTGAAGAATTTAAAGATTATAATCTGGCAAAGTGATCTTTTGAATATTCATAGTTTGTTTCTAGATCCAGGTCATGTCAAGTGAATTAGACATGTTTTGTAGTGCAACCTTAAAATTAAACATGGAACAGTAAATGTCTTATTCTCCTCTGTTCTTATAAATAGCTGCAATTTCTTTAAACTGAGAACATTTCTTATAGTTGTGAAGGGTAAAATAGCCACACACAAAAACTATTATGGGAGCAGCATATTTGGGTGTGTGTTGATCTTTTAGGATCTTTATAATAGCAGTTTCCCACCAGAACTGATCTGACATTCTGGCTTTATGAAAAGGTATATTAGATTGGTAATCCTTTCTATGATATAAAATAATGTATGAAAAATTTGTTTTAATCTCTGACAAGTCTGATAGGCCGATGTGTTAGTCTGTATCTGCAAAAACAATTAGGAGTCTGGTGGCATGTTAAAGACTAACAGATTTACTTGGGCATAAGCTTTCATGGGTAAAAACCACTTCCTCAGATGTATTTGTCATGAATGCATCAGTCAAAGTGGTTTTTAACCATGGGAGTTTATGCCCCCAAAAATATTTTTAGTCTTTAAGGTACCACAGGACTCCTCATTTTAAATCTCTTTTATAGTCATTTTATATGTTACTTGTAACAGTACAGGTTGAACGTCTAAAATCTGGGACTCTCTGGTCCAGCAGCATCCAGACCATGAATATTGTTGGACCAGAGAGCCCCAGCTGTCCAGGTTCAAAAGCACAGCCCTTGCCAGGGCTGGCGGCAAGGAGCACGGCCCCAGTCAGGACTGCAGATAGCGAGGCTGGGGGCCAAGAGCATAGCCCTGGCTGGGTCTAGGACAGTGGAGAATGCAACCTCGACCGTGGCTTGCATGGTGCAGGAGTGCAGTCCTGCCAAGGGCTGAAGGCAGCTGGGCGTGCAGCCCGGGCTGATGCTAAGGGAGAGTAGAGAGCAGTCCCTGCCAGGGCTGGACACAGCAGGGCTGGCCCCTGTCTTGAGCTGGCATGGTGGGAGCCACAGCCCAGCCAGGCCAGGCCTGGCATGTTGTGGGGCTGGAGGCAGGGGCAGGCGGCAGGGAGCGCAGACTCCACCGGGAGAAGAGCCTACAACTGGGTAGGGAGCCTTGACCTCCCCCTTGTCTGGCAAACTCCATTGTTTGGGACCACTCAGGTCCCGAGGGTGCCGGACAAGGGAGGTTTGACCTATACTAGGTAAACAATTTCAGTTAAGATGTGGGATTTTAAAGTTGTTTATTTTCTTTATTTTTTTATTTTTCTTAGACTGAAATGTGGTATGTTCAATTTAAAAAATCATTGGAATTGTCCTGAAAGGGACCTTAAAATATATTTTAGCAAAATTTGGTTAAAAAGAACAATAACTAACATATGCATTTCTATGTTCCTGTCTTTAATTTAGATGGTATGGTGGGTTTGTTTTTATTTTGGGGGGGAGGGAGGACCCTTTACTTAAGTGTCCTATTTCTATAGACTTTGTGTCAGGATGTGTTCTAAGCATCCAGACATAGATTGGTGCATAGCCAGAAAAACTACCACCCCTTCCTGCATCCAATTTTCCAGTGATCAGGATTAAAAAAATAATGAGAATGTGGGAAGATCTGTCTTTGGAATAAATACAGCTCAGCAATGGTGTAGTGAAAAAAATATCCTGTTTACTGTGTCCACATCAGAGAGTGAGAGATCAAGCTTGTATCATGATACTATCTGCTTTAACATGCAGAATAAGAAATGCTGCCAGAGAAGCTAAACACTACGGCTGTGTCTATACTGCATCCCTTTTCCGAAAAAGGGATGCAGATGAGACAACTTGGAATTGCAAATGAAGCGGGGGATTTAAATATCCCCCGCTTCGTTTGTATAAACATGGCTGCTGTTTTTTTCCGGCTCGGGGCTTTGCCGGAGAAAAGCGCCAGTCTAGACGGGATCTTGCGGAAAATAAAGCCTTTTCCGAAAGGTCCCTTATTCCTGATTTTAAGAGGAAAGATCCCATCCAGACCAGCGCTTTTCTCCGGCAAAGCCCCAAGCCAGAAAAAAGCGGCAGCCATGTTTATACAAACGAAGCGGGGGATATTTAAATCCCCCGCTTCATTTGCAATTCCAAGTTGTCTCATCTGCATCCCTTTTTCGGAAAAGGGTCCGGAAAAGGGGTGCAGTGTAGACACAGCCCACAGTTGCCTTTCACTCCCTTTTATTATATATCTTCCTACTTTTTTGTTTAAAAAAAGGTGGTAGACTGTACTGTAATTTGAAACTGTTATACAAAAATTATTTTCCAAACTTAAACAAATGAAAGTTTGGCTATCTTTAAGTCATAAAATATTTTTATACCAAGTACTCCCTCTTGTTCCCAGTTGCTGGCTTCTATAATAAATAGGGCAGAATCATTAGAGGAAGAAGAGGACATGCACCTACAGGACTCTATTTTGACTCCTGGACAGGGAGCTTTTTGGCCTACATTACAAACCTCAAGTTACAGCAAACATAAAAAAGGTTTCACGGGGAGATTTTGAAGGGGAGATAAAAGTCTAACTGCTCTTTGAGCCTTTGACAATTCTTTCTTGTTAAATGCTGTGTAACATAAAGGGATGAACATACTTTCAGTATTCACTAAGTTATAGCTGTGTTATTTGGGAATGTAAAAATCATACACAGGTTGCAAAGTGTCAGGATGGCTGCTGCCACCAACCAAAATGGCCAAGAATAGCATATGCTTATACCAAAATATATACTATTATATATATTAATTTTTCAGGTGCATCTACACAGCACCTTAAACTCAAAATAAGACGTCTACATAGCGCCAAATTTCAAAATAGCATGCTATTTCGAGACATCCCTTAACCCTTGTGGAATGAGGGTTACCAGGATGTCGAAATAGTGTGCCCGTTATTTTGAAAAATATTTCTAAATAAAGGGTGGCTTCTGAAGACGCGGGGTAGCTATTTCGGGATACCATGCAGTGTAGACGTACCCTCGGTGTCAACAGTGATCCCATTTCCTTCCTTGCTGTCACTTGTGGAAGTTCTCTAATTCCTTCACTTGCCATTTAAAATGGGTTTGTTCTAAGACCCCAGTTATTTTAAAATTTATGGGTGGGCTTTCTGTGGGACTTCTCACTCTAGAATCAGAATGCTTCATAAACACTGTTGTATAAACAGTACTTATCTCTATTTTACAGATAGGAAAATGATGACACAGGGACTTGACTAGTGTCTCAGAAAGTCCATGTCAGTGCTGAGAACAGAACCTATGGGTGAGATTCTGTGCCACACTGGTAAGAAGGGTAGTTCAAAATTCACAGCCCAGGGCAAGGGGGGGCAAAGATAGCTTTGAATAGCAGTGAATCTTCCTGCTCTGAAGAGTGGAGTGGCTCCCAGTGTAACTTAGATAACTTGGAAATGTCTCTGGGGCTATGGTAGACTCTCCAACCTACCCTTTGAGCTCCGGTCTGCCTGCTGCTGTCCTGCCCATGGTACACCTCCTTTCCTGCAGGGTTTGTAAGCCTTACATCTGTCTACTGTGGTACTTAAGCTTGGTGAATCCTCTCTGGAGCTTTTGCGTTCCATGTCTTGTCTACACCTTTCTCATTACAGTTGACTGTAGTGGGTGTTAGCAGTGCTGGATCAGGTCCTAAATCAGACCTGCCAAATGATCAGTGTTGTAATAAATAGCTACTTTTGTTTGTGTTTCTATCTTTTAAAGAATAACATAGCCTGATGGCACATAAGGTTGTATTTCCACTCGGGGTTTCTACTGAGAAGAGACCCCAAAAGCAAATGCTGTATTTGTTTATGTTTATGTTAATGATTTTTTTTATATCATTCAGGACTGATCTATAGAAAGGCTTTGTTCAGGGGGGCAGAAAAAGATAGCTGTGGTTTTCCTGGCTATGTAAATCTTAAAAGGCTGCTGATCTTGTCTCTGTGGGAGGCCTGTCTATTCAGAAGCCAATAATAGAGTAGAAACAAACAACTCTCTGCAGCAGCAAACTCTGGGGTTGACTGGGAAGTAGAAAAAAACTATTTTCCATTTGTGCCCAGTAATGTCCTATTCTACCTGTACTGAGCATCTTCCAGTTCCTCTCTGTTGCCCTAGCTGCACTGCACATTGTCAGCATTTCTAGCATAATGGAGTGGTACCTGCATGATCAGGGATGGGGGAAAAGGCACATGGCTTTGCAGCTCTGTCTCTGAAATTCTGTATACATTATAAACAAATCTCTTAATGGGGTAGTGGAAGTGGGAGGTGATGCCTCCAAATGGCCTGTTAAATAACATTTTCAGTTTTGCATTTCCCCTTTGCTGCTAGAGGTTGTTAAAAACAAATGGTTGTCATAAATAACTTCCTGGTGGCCATAACCAGCTCCCTTAGAAGCTTGTCAGTAAACTTTGGGTCATGACCTTTTTGAAATCCTTCATTTTGGACTAATAATAAAACTGAAGTTGTGGATTGAGCCCTGACTCCTACCTTTGAAGTATAAGGAGCAGTTCACTGCACGTATAGCAATGACTGACCCTGTTTAGAGATTGTTGAGCTGTTTACTGTGTGCACTGCCAATGTTGAAATCACTGACAACAGGAGAGAAAAGTTCAGCAAGAAAAATTCAACCTATGCAAGAGTTTTCATATGAAAAAAGTTGTTAAAAACAAAAGTCTTTCCTTTCTGGCACCATGCAAATTCCCTTATGTAAAACTCTCCACACCTCCTGAGTAGATCTTTAAATATAAAAGAAAAATTATTATATTGAAGTAGAGTTTTGTTAGATTTCCACTTCCTTCAGCAGGGGGCTGATGTTTTTAGCTCTCTGAGCCACAGGGAAGCTCAACAAAATTTTGAAATGTCTTAGATATTCTGTATTGTAGTGGTGTCAAACTCATGTTGGGCATAAAACAGTGTATGGAGATATGTCTTTGCCTTTGTTTATGTGCAACCTTGTTTTCTGTATTCAGTCATCAGATCATTGGCCTGACATGCTTCAAATGATTAGTAGGATGTGGCTGTCTGTACCTATGCTGAATAAATCTGTTCCTTGGATCTGAACTCTGGAGTTAGTTAGCAGTAGTTTTGTCTGCTACCGCAGGCAGTGGTTGATATCT